CACACGCTGCTGTACATACATAGCGTTAGTTTTCACAACTTCAGTCACGTGCTACTGTACATACATAGCGTTAGTTTTCACAACTTCAGTCACGTGCTACTGTACATACATAGCGTTAGTTTTCACACCTCCAGTCACGTGCTACTGTACATACATAGCGTTAGTTTTCACAACTCCAGTCACGTGCTACTGTACATACATAGCGTTAGTTTTCACACAGACACGCGCTAACGAGAAGTCCTCACTCCACGATTTAAAATAGAAAGAAATTCCTTAATATTATTGGACGCTCAGTTACGAGCGTGACTAACAAGCAAAAAGAAAAACAATAATTTTGACCAAATAAACCCTTTCTGTTTAACTGAAATATCTTTTTAAAAATGAAATAGATAAAAAAATCCTGAAAAATAAATACCTGCTGTTAAATTTTTCTGGGTGTTTTTCTCTTTCCAAATGAAACTTTATGGCGATGGACGCATCCTGCCCAAAAAATAAACATTTGGGGTTAATATTTATTAATAGGAAAATGAGGTTCATATGATACACAAAACAGAAAATAGCATTAAGTCTGTAATAAGAAAAACTGGATCAACTTAACAGACACCCACAAACTGTCTGTAAAATGTTACATATTAACGTCAAAAGCTATTGTTTCCGTTTAACTGTAATAAGAAAAACTGGATCAACCTAACAGACACCCACAAACTGTCTGTAAAATGTTACATATTAACGTCAAAAGCTATTGTTTCCGTTTAAAACTATAATGATGTTAAACGCACGTGTAAATAAACTCGAGCCAAACGTTCTCGAGATATCTGTGATGGTATGTTTGTTTGGAATTTGTTTGCAAAGCCACGCAAGGGATAACTTCTCAAAGTCGTCCCTAGCTTTGAATCGATAAGACTAGATGGAAAGCAGCCAGTAAAGAGCACCCCCCGCCAATTCTTTATCCACTCTTTTATGATCAGAGGTGGGATTTGAGCGTCGTGTTTATAGCCTAAAAATGTGAAGCACGTTTTTGTGGCAACTGGTCGCGAATCGTGAATTTTCTGATCCACTAATGCACTAGGCCAAGCCTTTTTGTTATTGTTGTTGTTGTTGTGTAGGACTGTAATAAGCTGCTTTCGGTTACTTACTCGTGTTTCTGTACACATTAATGAAATTTCTTCCTCGGTGGGTAAGCGGTAAGTTAAAATCCGGGGTTGGATTCCCCGCGGTGGACGGAGAGCAGATAGCCCATTACATCTTTTGTAATATGCAAGTTTGTTTGTTAGTTTTAGAGCAAAGCGTCCCGCAAATAATCGAGGCGTCATAACTTCAAGAAAAGCTGACACCAAATCGTTAATATTGCTTGTAACGTGCGATTTAGATTTTCAAAACAAAGCAAACCACCAACGTCGAAGACGTGAAAATACGATAGACTATCAAAAACTGCTACATATAGTGAAACACTTTAGATCTGATACTAATTTTACCAACACGACACCGTTATATATAGAGAAAATAAAGTATAAATTGTGCATGTTATGTCACGTTTTACTAAAAACGTTTTTGACGAAAACAAAGGGTTAAATTTACAAAATGTATTTTAAAGATAAAATCTTCAATTGAGTTATCGGTATTTTTTAAGAGTTTCATTAATTTATATTTGTTCTATTATGATTTGTTATCTGTGACTTCTTAAGACAGCTTTTATATAAAATTCAGTTGTACTGGTTAAAAATTAATAATTGTAAGGCCCCCCAGTGGCACAGCGGTATGTCTGCGGACTTACAACGCTAGAAACCGGGTTTCGATACCCGTGGTGGGCAGAGCACAGATAGCCCTTGTGTAGCTTTGTGCTTAATCAAAAACAAACAATAATTGTAAGATCTATCTGTATATCCAAAAACGGACAAATAGTAAAAGCTAATCAATAAAATTTTTTAATCTTTCGTTTCTTAATAGAAGCCCCCCAGTGGCACAGCGGTATGTCTGCGAACTTACAACGCTAGTAACCGGGTTTCGATACCCGTGGTGGGCAGAGCCAGATAGCCCATTGTGTAGCTTTGTGCATAAATTCAAAAAAAGAAAAGAACTCATTAACTATACAAGCACACATTTGGACATTTGAATTTCAAGTTATTGAAAATATAATAATAATTATATTTGTCCATTTAGATACTTTTTTCTACTCTGTCTTTCATTATTTGTAAATAGATTTCGAAGTTTACATATATATATAACGAAATGTGTGTTGGTTTCCATCTTATTTCTATAAAAATAATCTCACATAGATTTCGTCTAAAGTCTAAGCTGCGAGGCTGCACAACAACCAATCAAATGCCGCGCACTTACTTATTCCAGCCGCGCACATTCCTCAGTAATGGTGAGGAGGCTCAACACGTTGACGGCCTTAATGACCCTGACGGTCGATAAGGCCTAAAACCCCAAATAACCAACTGGTAGCATTGAAAAGTGGCCTAATGATTCAATAGGGTTGATGATTTAAAAATACCCCCCCCCCCAAAAAAAAAGAAATGGTAGCGCACACTGCCTTGATACTGGTGCACATGAAAACAAATTCATTCGGCATATGGAATGAAAAAATTATAGGGGGCATTGATGATAGTACTCCTGAAAATTACATAAACACGTAAAGAACTTTCACTTCACTATGTAATTAATATTCTCGCCCGGCTGTAAAATCTTAGCAAGTCGTTTTACTTCAGTTGTTTACTTTAGCTACGTTACACTATATTCCGAAGTTCGTTTCCTAATTTATATATCAAATGTTCTTTTCAGCGATCGGTTTTCTTATTCTGTTTCGTTTCCTTTGTTCAGCTTTGTCTTCTCTCACTTTCGCTGACGTTTCTCATCTTTACTTAATCCCATTTTTAAAATACGAAATAACGCAGTTGCTATCTAGCGTAAACGTGCTTACTATCAATTTGTTTCTCGGTAACGTATTTAACTCCCGTTACCCTAAACGCGCAGCTAAGCCTTAATCGCTTTTGCTCGTGCCTTGTTATCCCTTCTTTCTAACGTCATTTCAGTTACTTACATTCGACATCCATACGTCGCAGCAGGTGACGGAGATCAAAGACACTAGGACACATTTATTTTTATACAATATATTCCTGAATACTACTGTTTTCAAATAATAACGTACATTTTCTTCGCTGAGTATTGAGGTTGTTTTCTGAAAGACACCGTATTGAAATAACTTTAAAAAGGTAAAGTTGTCAGTAGAACTGGACTTAAAACATACAAAAGACGTTATTTCCTTTCAGGCACATCGTGTTACTAGATTAAGAGTAAAAAAACACACACACAAAACGACGTTTTTTTGGCACAATGAAAAGTAAAATATTTGTCAGATTTTTAAGCCGACTAGTTTCTGTAAAGTAGCTACTAGTCCTAATGACAGTAACTTTGTTACCGAAGCTAGTCAGCTGAAATATCTAATAAATATTTCTTCTTTCATTGTGCCAAAAAAAACAACATCGGTTTTGTTTACGTTTAATATATATATATATAAGCCCCCCTGGCACAGCGGACTTACAACGCTAGAATCCGGGTTTCGATACCCGTGGTGGGCAGAGCACGGATAGCCCATTGTGTAGCTTTGTGCTTAATTACAACATTGCTTGCTTTCGTATATATATTTATAAGCTGTATTTAACTTATATCTATTACATATAATTTAATTCAAGGTACGTGTACATTAATTAATAGTCTGAACATAACTTGTACAAACAACCCATTTATAACTTACTATTGATACATTACATACGTATATGTTTTGGACAAGATTTAAAGTTGAATTTTGATTTGTTTAACTTGCAAGTATTAATAGAAAATATAGTCTTTATTAAGTATTGTATCTCATGGTGGGCACGGCACAGATAGCCCATTTAAATAACCTTGTATGTCTGGAAACATATATCGTTGTACTGCTAAAATATAAATCAATTTCAACATTATTCACATAAATATTTTTATTAAATAATAACTTTATTGGCCGCTAGAGCGTTGTATTAAGGAAGTGGCTCCATCTATTTAACTTTAATAACACTAATTACCTTACATACGAAGTAAATGAATAGAATGGTAATCTGATTTGATAACACAATACTTGGTATATACAAAGTGGTAACTTACAAAATATGTTATAATAGTCGTTGTGGAAGATAAGGCTTCTACAAATATAACCCCAACTTAAACAGAGAGACTACAAACCACAACTTAAACTAACAGAGAGACTACAAACCACAACTTAAACT